CTTCAAGCCTTCCACTAATTAATCCTATGTGCCCCGCGCTGTCCAACCGCCATCGGCTGCCACTCCACCCTCGCCTATGGCTCCCTCTGCCTCTCTCTCCCCCATGCATTGACGCGAGCCCGCTCCGAATAATCAAGTGTGGCATGAAGGAGGCGGAAGAGGTTGAGGCGGAGGAGGAGGAGAAGGAGAAGGAGAAGGAGGAGGAGGAGGAGGAGGAGGAGGAGGAGGAGCAGGGAGGAGGGAGGAGGAGGGAGGAGGAGAGGAGGAGGACGAGGGAGGGGAGGAGGAGGAGGAGGAGGAGAGAGGGGAGTGGAGGAGGTGGAGGAGGAGGAATAGGAGGTGTAGGAGGAGGAGGAGGAGGTGGAGGTGAAGGCGGTCGAGGAGGAGGAAGAGGAGATAATGAGGAGGGAGGAAGCCGACCCTGGAGCCTGGGGTGCCCCCCCCAGGCAGGCTCTTCCTCACACGGGCCGCGCCATGGACGGGCCCCATAGGGCCGAGGAGGGAAGAGCGCCCCCGGAGCCCCACGGCGGCCAGAGACCTCTTCGGGAAGGGGGGGGGGAGCTTCGACCCCCCCCCCTCCTCCTCCTCCTCCTCCTCCTCCTCCTCCTCCTCCTCCTCCTCCCTCCTCCTCCTCCTCCTCCTCCTCCCTCCTCCCTCCTCCTCCTCCTCCTCCTCCTCCTCCTCCTCCTCCTCCTCCTCCTCCTCCTCTCCATCCTCCTCCTCCTCCCTCCTCCTCCTCCTCCTCCTCCTCCTCCTCCTTCTCCTCCCTCCTCCTCCTTCTCCTCCTCCTCCTGCACCTCCTTCCCCCCCCCCCGCTCCCTCAACCTCCTCCCCCTCCTCCTCCTCCTCCCCCTCCTCCTCCTCTCCTCCTCCTCCTCCTCCTCCTCCTCCTCCACCTCCTCCTTCCCCCTCCTCCTCCACCTCTCCTCCTCCTCCTCCTCCTCCACCTCCTCCACCTCCACCTCAACCTCCTCCTCCTCCTCCTCCTCCTCCTCAACCTTCTCCCTCCTCCTCCTCCTTCTCCTCCTCCTCCTCCTCCTCCCCCTCCTCCTTCGACCCCCCCTCTTTGATCCGAGCGGGGGGGGGAGGCGGAGGGGCTCGACCCTCCCCCACCCCCCCAAGCGCTCACAGAAGGCGCTCTTTCGGACCTCCAGGCCCCCCTCCCTCAGGGCCCGTGCCTGCCAGGGCGACAGGCACGACGCACGACGCGCGCCGCCGACGCCGCCGAAGGTCGGCATCCTCGCCCCCTCGGGCTGGATGATTTGGGGGGGACAGCAAAGGGCAGGGCAGAGATTCGGCTCACGTAGCTGATCCTCCCGGGCGCCTCCCGGCGCCGGGAGGCGCCCAATCATCGAGGAATATGGGCCCCGCGGCGGGGCGGAAGCCAGGTGCATGCAGCAGCTTTCGTGACTCCACCTTTACCTATTTTCCGACCCTTACGTCCAGCCCGACCCTCGCCGCCGCCGCCGTTGCCGCCGCTGCCGCCGCCGCCATTGTTCACCGCCGCCGTCGTGCGCCGCCGCCGCCGTCGTCGTCGTCGTCGTCGTCGTCGTCGTCGTCGTCGTCGTCGTCGTCGTCGTCGTCGTCGTCGTCGTCGTCGTCGTCGTCGTCGTCGCCGCCGCCGCCGCCCTCGCCGCCTTTGTTCACCGCCGCCGTCGTGCGCCGGGCGTCGCACGTCGCAGGTCGTCCGACGCAGGAGCCGCTGGCCTCACCGAGCTTGCGCCCGCGGGCGCGCGCGGCCGCTGCCGCGCCTCAACCGCTGAGTGCGCCTCGACGGCGAGGTGACCCCTGTGCTTTTTTGGGGGGGCGGGGGAGCCTGGGCATGCGATGGCCTGATTTTTCCACTGCGGGGTCCCACGGAGCCCCGACCCTTTCCCCAGGGCCAGTGTTTCATCGCGAATTCATGTTTGGACAGTCCAGGGGCCCGGCGAGGGCCCCGGGAGGCCGAAACAACGCCCAACAACTGCCCGTCGTAATTTGTGTGCACGACGCAAGCGCGCCTGCGAGTCGTTTTGGTTGACAGTCCGGGGGCCCGGCGAGGGCCCCTGGAGGCCGAAAACGGCAGAAAATCGCCCGTCGTCATTTTCGAACGACGCGAACACGGCTGCGAGTCGTTCTCTGACGGCCCCGGGGCCTGGCAAAGGCACTTGGAGGCCGAGAACGGTCAAACATCGCCCGTCGTGTTCTTTTGTTCGACGCGAGCATGTCTGCGCGTCGTTTTGTCGACGGTCCCCTGGGAGGGGGGGCCTGCGAGGGCCCCTGGGCCCCATAGGACGGCCGACAACCGGCCCACGCGCTTCGTTTTACAGCGCGAGCAGGTCGGGGAACGGCCCGCGTGGCGTCACGCGCTGAGGGGACGGAGCACGGTGTGAAAGGTCCCGTTCCGCCGTCGGGGACGCCTGCCCCCAGGGCGGCCGGGAAGGACTATACCCCTGCGGTGGCACGTCGGACTGTAGACGTCCCAGCCGCCCCGTGGCAGGCGTCCCCGAGTGCGGAAACGTGGATGCTGTGCCGTTCATCGTCCCCCAAACGAGGGCATGGCCAGGCGCCCTATCTTGCCATCCCTCGGACGTCCACTCCCCGTGCATGTTTCGGTTCCGTGCGTTCATTTGTTCGCATGATGATCCGAGATGCTCCTCGATGGCTCGGTGGCAACTGATGGGAGCCTCCCATACCATCTTGTCGTCTCCTGCGAATCGACGCTAGTCGACGCCAAGTCGACGCTGATCGACGCCAGCCGACGCGACACTGGCGCTATCCCATCCACTCCCAGACGCTCATCGACGCTAAAGACGGACTTGCGAGGGCATACCAGGCTTCCATGACTTGCTACATAGCTCGATCCTTCCTCCCCTCCTCCTCCCCCTCCTCCGCCTCCTCCCCCTCCTCCTCCGCCTCCTGCTCCTCCTCCTCCTCCTCCTCCTCCTCCTCCTCCTCTTCCTCCTCCTCCTCCTCCCCCTCCTCCTCCTCTTCCTCCTCCTCCTCCTCCTCCTCCTCCTCCTCCTCCCCCTCCTCCTCCCCCTCCTCCTCCTCCTCCTCCTCCTCCCCCTCCTGCTCCTCCCGATGGTCCGAGGAAAAGCTGCACACGTCCGAGCGATGCCAAGCTATGTACACAACGAGGCAGCGGGCGCGGGCCGGCCAGGCGCACGGCCGCGCGCCGCGGGCCGCGGGAGCGAGGCGGCGGTCCACGGGCGAGGGGCCCAAACAGTGTGAGTTTAACATCCTCCTCCGCCTGTCTCATGATTCTCCTCCTCCTCCTCCTCCTCCTCCTCCTCCTCCTCCTCCCCCTCCTCCCCTCCTCCTCCTTCTTCGTCCTCTTCTTCCTCCTCCTCCTCCTCCTCCTCCTCTTCCTCCTTCTTCTTCTACTCATCATCCCCCTCCTCCTTTTCCGTCCGCCTTTTTCTCCCCCATCCTCCTCCTACCATTCTTACCTCCCTGCGTCGTCCCCACCCTTCACCAGATGTGCGATGTCCTGTTTCCCCGGCTATCCTGTAGTGACTGTAGTGTTGGGTCCTCGCTTTGAAGGGACAGCGCCCCGCAGTCCTCCTCCTCCTCCTCCTCCTCCTCCTCCTCCTCCTCCTCCTCCTCCTCCTCCTCCTCCTCCTCCTCCTCCTCCTCCTCCCCCTCCTTGCTTCTCCCATCCCTTGCACCCCTCAGACGCTTCGTAGCCCCATGGGGAGCTCCACGAAGGTCCTAGGGGCGCCGCCCGCATGTGTCCGACCCACCTTCGGCACACCCCTAACGAGGATCGCGGCCCCAAAGGGAGCTCCACCGAAGGTCCCTGCGGCCGTCCTCGCGCGCGCCTCCCCCGCTCATCTCGGCACGCCCCTCACACGTTTCGTGCTCCCACAAGGAGCCCCACCGAAGGTCACAGAGGCCGTCATCGCCTGCGTCTGCCCCACAGCCCGCATGCGGTACCCGCCCCGTGTTGGCACGCCCCTCACGCGGCTCGCCCGTCTCACGCGGTTCGCGGCCCCATAGGGAGTTCCCCCTCGATCGCCCCGCCTGCCCCGCGGTACTCACAACTGCATATGGTTGGGCCCCTCGCCTGGATCATCTTCCATAAGGCCCCACCCCCAGAAGGTCCCGACCCCAGACGTGCGACGTCCTGACTTTGTTCAGGACGGCGTCCCTGGAAGTCCAGACCCTTCCCCCGGGGCCAGCTTGCTCGTCCCGAGTCGTTTTTTGACGGTCCCGAGGCCCGGCGAGGGCCCCCAGAGGCAGAAAATGGCGCAAAACCTCCCGTCTCCAACCCCCGACGTAATGATTTTTTCATTACGTCGACCCCTAGAGGTCCCGACCCTTTCCCCATGACCTGCTTTGCATCCTGCGTCGTTTTTTGACGCTCCCGAGGCCCGGCGAGGGCCCCCGGAGGCCGAAAATTTGGAAAAACCTCCCGTCATGATTTTTTCATTACTCGAGGGGGTCTGGGTCCCTGGAAGTCCAGACCCTTCCCCCGGGGCCAGCTTGCTCGTCCCGAGTCGTTCTTTGACGGTCCCGAGGCCCGGCGAGGGCCCCCAGAGGCCGAAAATGGCGCAAAACCTCCCGTCTCCAACCCTCGACGTAATGATTTTTTCATTGCGTCGACCCCCAGAGGTCCCGAACCTTTCCCAATGACCGGCTTTGCGTCCTGCGTCGTTTTTTGACGCTCCCGAGGCCCGGCGAGGGCCCCCGGAGGCCGAAAATTAGGAAAAACCTCCCGTCATGTTTTTTTCATTACTCGAGGGGGTTTGGGGACCCTTCCCCCGGGGCCGGTTTGCTCGTCCCGAGTCGACTCTTTTTTTGACGGCCCCGAGGCCCGGCGAGGGCCCCCAGAGGCCGAAAATGGCGCAACACCTCCCGCCATGATTCCTTCATGGCTCGAGGGGTTCTGGGCCCCGACTTGAACGAAGGATTGCAAAAAAACCCTTCGTTCGGTTTTTTTTGCAATCCTTCGGTTTTTTTTGCAAAATCTTCCCTTGAGGGCCGCGGCTCTTCTCCCGAGTCGCCCTCGGGCGGCCCCGGGGCCCGGCGAGGGCCCCCTGCATGGAGGCCGAACGTGTGGGCCAACGCCTCCCGCCGTGATGTCCGTGCTGCGAACGCGGCCTCGGGGGGGAAGCAGGCTGCGGTCCCAGACCCCCTCGAGCAATGAAAAAATCACGACGGGAGGTTTTTCCTGATTTTCGGCCTCCGGGGGCCCTCCCCGGGCCTCGGGAGCGTCAAAAAACGACTCGGGACGAAAAACCGGTCCAGGGGAAAGGGTCCAGACCTCTGGGGGTCGACGTCGTGAAAAAATCACGACGTCGGGGGTCTGGGGTGAGGGCACTGGATAAGGAACCCTTAGATATGTAAGGAGTCCAGCAGGGTCCGGAAGCCAGTGGAGCTCGAATCGTGGGTCGGCCACTCCCAGACCTGCGACGTCGTGATTTTTTTCAGGACGGCGCCTCCGGAAGTCCCGACCCTTTCCCCATGCAGGGCCAGTTTGTCATCATGAATCGTTCTTTGACGGCCCGGGGCCCAGTAAGGGCCCCCAGGGGCCGAAAATAGCGAAAAATCAGCCATCCTAATTTTTTACGACGCGATCATGTCTGGGTTGATAACATCGCCGCACTCATCAGATAAGGAACCTGCCTAGAGTCTCCAGGGTCGAACGCCTCCAAATACGATAGGTGTGCCCGGAGCTGTGCCGGCCGGGGCTGGGGCTGAACGAAAACTGACCCAGACATGCGACGCCCTGATTTTTTCAGGACGGCGTCGGCCCGGAAGTCCTGACCCTTTCCCGGGGGCCACTTTGTCATCCTGAGCCGTTTTTTGACGGCCCCGGGGGCCGGCGAGGGCCCCCAGGGGCCGAAAATAGGGAAAAACCTCCGTCCTGATGTTCTTCCGACGCGATCATGTCCCGTGACCCAGACCCCCGACGTCATGATTTTTTCACGACGTCGACCCCCCGACGTCTCGACCCATTCCCCCGGACCGGTTTTTCGTCCCGAGTCGTTCTTTGACGGTCCCGAGGGCCGGTAAGGCCCCCCAGAGGCCGAAAATAGTGAAAAACCTCCCGTCGTGATTTTTTCATTACTCGAGGGGGTCTGGGTCCGACGCGACCATGTCCCGGGACATAAACGTAGCAGCTCGGAGGTCCGCGCGGACATCTCGGATATCCGCGCTGGACGCCCGTGGCGGCGCGCCGATCCGAGGAATCCGCGCGGACCTCCGAGATTTTTGTGATGTTTTTTAGGCCTTTTTTCCCGTTCCGTGTGCAGACACGATCGCGTCTCAAAAAATCGCGTCCCCCCTCGAGTAATGAAAAAATCACGACGGGAGGTTTTTCCTAATTTTCGGCCTCCGGGGGCCCTCGCCGGGCCTCGGGAGCGTCAAAAAACGACTCAGGATGCAAAGCCGGTCATGGGGAAAGGGTCGGGACCTCTGGGGGTCGACGTAATGAAAAAATCATTACGTCGGGGGTCTGGGATGATCGCGTCTCAAAAAATCGCGGCCATACTAAGGGGGGGACATCCTCCCAGACATGATCGCGTCTCAAAAAATCGGGACCATATGAAGGGGGGGACATCCTCCCAGACATGATCGCGCCTCAAAAAATCGCGGCCATATGAAGGGGGGGACATCCTCCCAGACATGATCGCGTCTCAAAAAATCGCGGCCATATGAAGGGGGGGACATCCTCCCAGACATGATCGCGTCTCAAAAAATCGCGGCCATATTAAGGGGGGGACATCCTCCCAGACATGATCGCGTCTCAAAAAATCGCGGCCATATTAAGGGGGGGACATCCTCCCAGACATGATCGCGTCTCAAAACATCGGGACGACAGTTTTTCGCCACTTTCGGCCCCTGGGGGCCCTCGCCGGGCCCCGGCACCGTCAAAAAACGACTCGGGACGACAGACTGGCCTTGGGGAAAGGGTCGGGACTTCCGGTGACGCCGTCCTGAAAGAATCAAGACGTCGCATGTCTGGGAACGGGGGCGGGGACCGAGACCCCCGACGTAATGATTTTTTCATTACGTCGACCCCCAGAGGTCCCGACCCTTTCCCCATGACCGGCTTTGCATCCTGAGTCGTTTTTTGGCGCTCCCGAGGCCCGGCGAGGGCCGTCGGAGGCCGAAAAGTCGGAAAAACCTCCCGTCATGATTTTTTCATTACTCGAGGGGGTCTGGGGAGGGGGGAGCCCATCCAGTACCAGGGACATCCGCCGATGTGGTGTCTCCAATCCGCGGCCCCCGAGGCCCCGACCACACTTCCCCAGCGCGTGGCTTCTCCTCCCAGCTGCACTTCTGCTGGCCCCCCCCCGGGGGCCCGAGAACGGGCCCCGGAGGCCGAAGTCCAAGGAAAAACACCGCGTTGAAAATGCATATCCTCGGATCTCCCCAGACCCCCTCGAGTAATGAAAAAATCACGACGGGAGGTTTTTCCTAATTTTCGGCCTCCGGGGGCCCTCGCCGGGCCTCGGGAGCGTCAAAAAACGACTCAGGATGCAAAGCCGGTCATGGAGAAAGGGTCGGGACCTCTGGAGGTCGACGCAATGAAAAAATCATTACGTCGGGGGTCTGGGTCTGGGGGGCCCATCCAAGTACTAATTACGGCGAGCACCGAAGAGACCCACACCCCCGACGCCGCGATTTCTTCATCACGTCGTCCCCCAGGGGTCTGGACCCCTTCCCCAGGCCCGGCTTCTCCTGCTGAGCCCGTTTTTGGACGGCCCCGAAGCGAGGGGGTCTGGGAACTGTCGGAGACGGCCAAGAGGGGGGCGTCCAAAGCGGGGGGGGGGCGCAAATCATGGCCAGCGGCACGTGCGCGGCCCAGGGGGGGGCCGGGGACGCATTGAAACAAGAAGAGGCGCCGCGAAATCTGGGGAAATATCGTGGCCCCCACCATCCCAGACATGCGACGTCCTGATTTGTTCAGGACGGCGTCCCCAGAAGTCCCGACCCTTTCCCCGTGGCCGGCTTCTCACCCTGAGTCGTTTTTTGACGGTCCCGAGGCCCGGCGAGGGCCCCCAGAGGCCGAAAACAGCGAAAAACTTGCCGCCCTGATTTTTTTCTACGATGCGGTCATGTCTGGGAGGACGTCCCCCCCCCCCAATCTGGTCCTCGCCCCCCTCTATTGGCCGCCCCCGAAGCCGGGGCGCTGCCACTCCCTCCGCTGGGCGCCCCCGCCGCATGCGCTCGCGAGGGGCGTGCGCCGCGCCCTGCCGCCGGACCCGCGGCCGCCGCGCCCTGGGCGCACGTCTGGAAAATGCGATGTGGTGTGCCTGGAGCTGTGCCGGCCGCGGAGGGAGCTGCTTCCCAAACATCGGGCGTCTCGAAAAAGTCGAGACAATGATGTTTCCCACTTTTGGGCCTCTCGGGGCCCTCGCCGGGGTCTCGGAAAAATCGAGACGGAGGTTTTTCGCAGTTTGCGGCCTCTCGGGGCCCTCGCTGGGCCTCGGGGCCGTCAAAAACCGGCTCGGGATGAAAAACGCCGGTCCCAGGGAAGTGGTCGGGAGGTCGGGGGCCCGCGTCTCGAAACAATCGGGACGTCGGATGTCTGGGTCTGGAGCTGTGCCGGCCGCGGAGGGGGCTGCTCGGGGGGGGGACAGGCCACGGTGAGGGCATTGGTCACCCAGACATGATCGCGTCGCACACAAATTTTCAGGACGGTTGATTTTTCTGTATTTTCGGCCCCATGGGGGCCCTTACCGGGCCTCGGGACCGTCACAAAACGGCTCAGGATGAAAAGCTGGTGCTGGGGAAAGGGTCTGGACTTCCAGGGGCGCCGTCCGGAACAAATCAGGACGTCGCATGTCTGGGTTTAAGGAACCCTCAGAGAAGTAATCCAGGGCAGTGGATAAGGCACGGCGAGGGCATTGAATAAGCAACCCATGAGATGGGGGAGCGAAAGCTGTCATAAACAGAAAAACTCTGAGGTCCGCGCAGATTTCTCGCATCCGCGCTGGACCCCCTTGGCGGCGCCTCCGGCGCCGATCCGAGACATCCGCGCGGACCTCCGAGCCGAAGGCTGCTTCGGGGGGAACTGCAGGCCCCAGACATGCTCGCGTCGTACAAAAATCAGGGCGGCAAACTTTCCGTAATTTGCGGCCCCTGGGGGCCCTCGCCGGGCCCCGGGACCGTCAAAAACGGAGATGACAAACCGGCCCCGGGGAAAGTCGGCCGTGGAGAAACCTCCCTTTAGTAAACCTCCCTTTATAGTGCGGCCTGGGACCGAAACCGACGGCGGCCGCGACGCCCTCTCGCGAACCGAAAACGGCCAATTCGCTAATCGACGTGTCCGGGGTAGGAGGTCTGTCCACCCGGTCGGGACTTCTTCCTGGGACGCCGTCCGGAACAAATCGGGACGTCGCATGTCTGCGGCTGGCAAGCTATATGCCGACGCCGCTGCTTGGCCGAAGCCGGGGCCCCGGACGAGCTCGGACCAGATATATCCGCGGCCGCTCCGGAGCGCCCCCAGGACACGTGCGACGTCCCGACGTTTTCGGGACGGCGCCCCCGGAAGCCCAGACCGTTTCCCCAGATCCTGACCCAGACCCCCGACGTAATGATTTTTTCATTACGTCGACCTCCATAGGTCCCGACCCTTTCTCCATGACCGGCTTTGCATCCTGGGCTGTTTTTTGACGCTCCCGAGGCCCGGCGAGGGCCGCCAGAGGCCGAAAATTAGGAAAAACCTCCCGTCATGATTTTTTCATTGCTCGAGGGGTCTGGGGAGTCCCCCAAAAAATCAAGACGAGACGAAGGTTTTTCGCTACTTTCGGCCCATGGGGCCCCTCGCCGGGCCCCAGGGCCGTCAAAGAACGGCTCAGGAGGACAAGCCGGCCCAGGGAAGGGGTCGGGACTTCGGGGACGCCGCTCTGAAAAAATCAGGACGTCGCATGTCTGGGTCGTTTTTTGACGGTCCCGGGGCCTGGCGAGGGCCTCGAGAGGCCGAAAATGGTCAAACACCGCCCGTCCAGATTTTTACGACGCGATCACGTCTGGGTCTGGGAGGCCCCGAGAGCGTTCCAGAGGAACGCTCTGGAGCGACTTGTCCCGGCCCTAGCTCTGCCCCCAGACACCCGCAGACATCCCCATCTGCCGGCCGAGGAGGGGCTGCAGTCGGGGGAAACAGGCTTCCGATGCCGCTGCTCAGCCGAATCTGAGATCCTGGCGTTGCAATGTTTTCACAACGGGCGCCTTTGCCCATTTTTTCGGGCCCCGGGACCCTCACGGATCGGTCCGCCTCGAAAAAGGATGCAGAAAGATAGGGTCCGGGGCTCCGGTCGTGATTTTGTTGCGACGTTGCATTTGTTCTGCAACGTCGGATCTCAGGCCACCGACGCCGCTGCTCAGCCGAAGCCGGGGCCCAGACGAACTCGGACAGGGGCGAACCCAGACATCCGACGTCTCGATTTTTTCGAGACGCCGGCCCCCGACCTCCCGACCCAGGGGTCCTCTGTGTCTTGTATGCAAGACATGGGCAATGTGTCTTACATGCAAGACACGTAATGTAAGCTGGAAGACATGTAAGATGCAATAACAACAAATACGTACAATCAACTGGAATCCGTTGCCATTGGCACAGCGACGACCAGCGTTCGTTCACTCATGGTGATTTTCATTTCTATTCGCACGGGTTCAATAAACATTGAACCAAAAGGAAGATGTGTATAAAGAAGGGGGACCTTTCCACATCGTAATTGTCGCGAGCACATGAGTACGAACTGCTGGCCACGATCTGTTGCCCCGTGCTTGACACAAACAACGTTACAGAGGATGTGACATTCAGGCGCGATGTCTTAGCCCAGAAGACGAGTACTCAGGCACCAAATCCTTGCAACAAGTAGGATACCCATCTACGCCAAAATGGCTTTGAGCCTGGCTAATTAGGAGGAGGAGGAGGAGGAGGAGGAGGAGGAGGAGGAGGAAGAGGAGGAGGAGGAGGAGGAGGGGGAGAGGAGCAGCGGCAGCAGCAACAGCAGCAGCAGCAGCAGCAGCAGCAGAAGCAGCGGGACAGGGCAAGAGGAGCGAGAGGAAGACGAGGAGGAGGAGGAGAAGCAGGAGCAGCAGCAGCAGGAGGAGGAGGAGGAGGAGGGAGGGAGGAGCAGGACCAGGAGAAGGAGGAGGCCTCCTCCTCCTCCTCCTCCTCGTCCTCCGCCTCCTCCTCCTCCTCCTCCTCCCTCCTCCTCCTCCTCTCCTCCCCCTCCTCCTCCTCCTCCTCCTCCTCCTCCTCCTCCTCCTCCTTCTCCTCCTCCTCCTTGTCCAACTCCGACCGCGGCGCAAACATTTTGTGAACGCCCCTTTGCGCCATGCCGAACAGGCGCAAACATTTTGTGAACGCCCCTTCGCGCCATCCCGAGCTGGCGCAAACATTTTGCGAACGCGAAGTGCCGCAGCGCGAGCAGGCGCAAACATTTTGTGAACGCCAACTTGTTTTCCAGGCGTCTGTTCCCTGCGGCCTCACCATGGCAGCCCAGTCGCTTGTTGTTTATAGCAAATAACTCCTCCTCCTCCTCCTCCTCCTCCTCCTCCTCCTCCTCCTCCTCCTCCTCCCCTCCTCCTCCTCCACCTCCTCCTCCTCCTCCTCCTCCTCTCCTCCTCCTCCTCCTCCCCTCCTCCTCCTCCCCGCCCTCCTGCTCCTGCTCCTGTTCCTGCTCCTCCTCCTCCTCCTCCTCTCCTCCTCCCCTCCTCCTCCTCCTCCTCCTCCCTCCTCGTCCTCCCTCCTCCTCCTTCCTCCTCCTCTCCTCTTCCTCCTCCTCCTCCTCCTCCCTCCTCTCTCCTCGATCTCCTCATCCTCCTCCTCCTCCTCATCCTCCTCCTTCCTCCTCATCATCATCCTCATCCTCATCCTCATCCATCCTCCTCTCCTCCTCCTCCTCCTCCTGCTCCACCTCCTCCTCCTCCTCCTGCTCCAGCTGCTCCTCCTCCTCCTCCTCCTCCTCCTCCTCCTCCTTTCCTCCTCCTCGTCCTCCTCCTCCCCCTCCTATTCCTCCTCCTCCTCCTCCTCCTCCTCCTCCTCCTCCTCGTCCTCCTCCTCCTCCTCCTCCTCCTCTTCATGCTCCTGCTCCTGCTGCTGCTGATGATGATGCTTCTGCTTCTGCTCCTGCTGCTGCTGCTGATGTTGCTGCTGCTGCTGCTTCTGCTGCTGATGCTGATGTTACGCGCTACGTTGCGATCTTGTGTCCAAGACCCCGTGACAAGAAAAAATCGAACAGCAAACGTTTGGCCCAAATCGATCGGTGCGCCTTCGACGCACACGATTTCAAGAACGAGTTAAGCGACTCGTCCACCCAACAGGCCCATCTGGCTGGTGAGCCCGCACGTGAGATTTTCACAGCTAGCTCCATCAGCTGGTGATGTTTGGGTTTGTACTCCAGCCCAAGTGCTTCGCACGCGGCCATGAATAACTTCACATGATCGACAAACTCTTGAATGTCGCTGTCGGGGAATATCTTATCGTTTTTCTTTATCAAGTCCAGTAGGCGAACGAGTGCCTTCACACCTGATATGAGTGAGCGTGCAATTCGGGCGTCAAGTCGATGATGGTACGTCGGCAAGAAGACAGCATGGCAAAACCTGAGCATGCCATTGGTTTCGCTGCCGTGCAGGTTCATCGCAGGCGCCTCGAAAGACCCGAACATACCTTTTGTCAAATTCTGAGCTCGTGTATGGAACACGCCAGACCGCTCTTCCGAACCGTACCAAGCGAACAACTCGGCCCTGATACGGTCCACAGAAACAGAAACTCGGTTATCCCAATTGCCACCTATCCGATATACATCAGCAGCGAATGCAATGTGAAATAATAACCCAATAAATGATTGAAATACTCCCAGTGACATGTTGTGCAGATAATCTGGTACGAGGCATCTTTCTGGTGTGATTCCTATGGTGGCGTCGAATATCGGGCATCGATGTCTGGTCATTGTCTCTGAGGCCGGGCGCCAAAATGTCAGAGGAACTGTTGGCGTTGGCAACGTATCGAAGTTGCTCGTGTAGCTGAGGTTGCTGCACGGTTCGAGTCGATCCCCTTTTCGCAAACGGAGGTCGGGCAGATCCGCTGCCAAGACCCTCCCTCGATTGCCTGACTTCGATCTGTCGTAGACTAGCGACGCCCTGACTCGCATGCACTGGTCAGCATCTAGAACCACAACATGTTCACACTCTCGGCACGCATTTTCGTAATCCACAATTGTTTTCGGCCTGCAAGGTACACCGAAGGGGGACATGCCCCTCCATGCATAGATGTCGTCTGAAGTTGCAAAGCACCATGGGCATGGGTGGCCGTCGGTGCTCCAGAGTGGATAGC